GAAACACTGATGTACAGTAAGGAGCTGGAGAAGTGTATCGACAGATTTTTCAATTATTAGGAAAACCTTTCTTTAACCAAACTGTTTTTTATTAGGCGATCCGAGCCCTTATTCTTGGGATTTCTCTACTTAAAATTTGGTACTTATGATCTCGTACCATTGTCTGGTTCAAGAAAGGAAGAGATGTCTTATAAAGCACTTGACTTTTGCTGCGCTTTTCAATAACATGCGGACTCTAAAATTCAAAGCTCAACCGACAAATGCGTTTTTCGCTACGGTCAATCAGATGTTCGGCGGCTCCTCCCAGCTTCCGACTATTGCCGAGCGCGCGATAACCAAATCAAATCGTCGAGCACAGTTTAGATAGCACAGTCGGAGGCTGGGAGGAGCCGCCAAACATTTGATTGACGGTAGTGAAAAACGCATTTGTCGGTTGAGCTTTGAATTTCAGAGTCCGCATGTTATTGAAAGGAGCAGTAAGCCTGTCTGATACTATTTTATCAATTATTGTAAACAGCAAAGTATTATTGTAAAAAGGTGATATTTTTTAGCCTTTTTTAAATCAAATGATCCATTTAGCGTGATTATAATAGCTGAATTTCTAGTTTTAATCGATAATTAGGTACTTGTATTAATATTATTTTTAGAATTTCTTTTTTAAGGTGTCCTCAATTGGTAAAGGGTCTTTACCCTCAGCTGGATAGGCTTGACACTTTAATATGGTTATTGTTGTTGTTATTGTTGTTGTTGTAGGACGAGTACGTCTACAAGTCAAGAAACAAACTGCATTTGTTTTCTAAGAATACATTACGACAATGATCGCAAAAATTAAACTGTTCCTAGTTGGCTTGATACCTCAGTTCGCAAAGCACTGCACCAATATCGTAACGGTCATAGGTTTAAATCCCGTTCAAGTTTGACTTTTGTTTCAGTTTTTCTTTTGGCTTTATTATCCTTTGCTAAAGAGAAATTGATGTTGCGCAATGGTTAGGAACGTTTAAGGAAGTTCGCGCCCAAAATTTTCCCACGTGCCCAATTTTTTAAACACTCGCCATGCAGGAAGGTAAACATAATGTTTTGCCAAAAGGTGAAAAACAATGCGGGGTCTCCGTCCTCGTTTTCGAAATAAGACTGACGACACGAGAACAGAAAAGGCGCAATAACTTCTCACGTACGGAGGCGCAATAACTTCTCATGTACAGATTTTCTGCCTGT